CGTGCTTTCTTCAAACGTCGATCAGGTAGCCACTCGAACGAGTTTGTTTGGACGAAGTCGTTCCGTGTTTGATGGTCAAGACGCCGAATATGCCACTGGAGGCCGAGATGCGCACGTCGCTCCAAGGCCTCGAGCGCATCTACCGTGAGCACGCAGCTGCGTTCCGGGCCAAGGGTCCGTACCTGCTAGGCGACCGTTTCAGCAGCGCCGAGATCAACATCATGACGTTCCTCTTCCGGTTTGACATTTTGCTGCAGCACTACCGCCAGGTGCGCGTGCTTGGCGACGACATTCCGCTGCTCTCGGCCGCGCTTGAGGCGTCCATGGCGCGACCGGCGTTTACCTTGACAGCGCGGGACCCTGATTTCTACATTCGCGGCTTTGCCCACCACGTCGAATAGGGGAATAAGTACAGTATTACTACTGTCGTAAGTCAATAATCAAACCGCTAACACTGCTAACGTTAGATTGTTCTAGCCCCACCTAACCCAAAATGCTAGAGTTCATTTTGCCCCAAGAAAACACGGAATGAACTCTAGTTGGTAGCTACAAGGACATACATTTGTCCTTGGTATTGAGAACACGGACGAACGAATAGGCAAGGTCTTCTGTCAAGCACGGCACTAGTTATTGACAAAGGTTGCCTATAAATCGCCTTTGGTGACACGACAAGTAATCAATGTTTAATGTTTAAGCTTAAGAGGAAGCACTCGGTGATGGTAGGCGCATCTCCGTTCGTGGGTTGTCGAACGGCCAGGCGACGTGGCATAAATGTACAAACGTTCTGCGATTATGGCTATGGTTGCTGATCTCATTCTTTGTGGAAGAATCACCCCGAGAGGCAGCCGAGGGCGGACACCCCATCACATTGCAACAGAATATGTGACCTATCAACTGTGCGAAGTAGATTTGCGTGGCGACGCCAGACTCGCGAATCGACTCGCGTGATTGATGGGCCAGACTGAGAGACAAAAAACCGGCCAATCGCAACCGATCGCAAGGCAACCCCTTGACGTTTTCACTTTTGACACACGCCTGAGCGGGTATCGCATCTTGGAATTCAGAATATCGCGCCAGACCGTAGTCGGTAGCTTGTTTATGGGCACCGACATTGCAAGCTTTTTGGTTTTGTCTCCTGCACTGGCCACGTCACAAGGTGAATTGAAGATCGAAGAATTGTCCCATGATCCGAGTCGACACCAAGGGTCAGGTGATTTGGGTTCAGACACAACACCAATGCAACTACAAAAGAGGTGCAAATCCTACAGTAACTACATGTGGCCAGCGACGACATTTCCTCACTGGTCCGAGCGAGTCGTGTATCGCGGATGAGAAAGAAGACCACTTGACCATTCGTTGGTCTTGGCTCCTTGTGTAATATGTTGATCGCCCGCTCCAGCTCCAATATTTATATGATGCGAAGAATCAGGCGTTCGGTAAAACTAGAAAGCAACGTGTGCTGAGCTGAGCGCGACAGCTCAGGTCGACACATGCTTGAAGTTCGCATTGTGCGAGAGATCGTTCTTCATTTTTCAATTCACTCGACAAGACCATGGTGGACGACCGTAGCCCCGCACCGAATATGCAACCGCAGCACGCCGACGCCATCGGACAGTGCCCCAAGTCAGAAATTGGGTGCTGTTGCAACTTTGCAGCCTACGACGATACCGCGCTGCCCTACCATGAGTACAAACCCTCGTTTCACTTTGTGCTGGACGCCATGGCGCACGACCTCGTCCTGGGGGCTGACAGTGCGCCGCGAGAAGGAGCCTCGCCGCGCACATGCCCGCTGGCGAAAGGTGCACAAAATCAAAGTCGCCTCAACCAGCCGAATCCGTGACGGCACAACGCGGCCACGGGGTAGTTAGTTGTACGATTAGCATTAGTTGTTGTTACGAGTAGTTCCGTGCAATATATATATATACATTACTAGTACTTGGTTTGCGCATTTTATGATCTCATTGAACACAATTCCAAACATTGCACAAGCAAAAAACAACGTTAGCTGCAGCAAAACACATTCAAAATCCTTGACAGTTCAGTGACTCTACGGCTTGAAGCAGGCTCGAAAGATGAAAGTGTGAGATTCATAGCGTATAAACTAGATTTTCAACCAATCGGGCAGGGAGCAAGCAAAACGGACGGAGCCCAACGGGTCCCAGTTTAGCCTTTCCCTCTCCGCAGCAAGTGGTTTGTCAACATCATATTTCCCCTCACACGCGACGAAGATATCGTAGAAACCTGAACCGGCCAATGCTCGGCCCTAACGGTTGAAGTCGAACCACGGTGACCCTACAGGCGACTGCAAAGACAGGCGCAAACTACTACTACGTCGGACGCAGCGTCAACTGTTGCGACAATACGCTTCCTGAGAAAGGACGTACACAAATTTTGTGTACTTTGAGCCATGGGTCCTCGACGGTCGTCTTGACGGGGAACATCTTTGGGTAGGCAAAGACAAAGACGAAGTGGAACCTTATTTTGGGTCTGTGGACCAAGCTGAAATGACAAGCAATATTGTCATATGTATCCAATAACAACATATGTATGCACACTTTGGCATCTGTTTGACGCAAACAGCTCCAACCGCACGTTGCCTGACGACGGCTCGTAATCTCCCGGGGCATATCGTTGGTAACTTCATTTTTAACGCTCTTTTCAACTACCATTCCTAGTCTCGACAAATAAACACAAAACCCAAGGAAACCAACGCAATTGTCGACGCCAAGCATTCGTCGAATCTGCTCGGCAAAGAATTCCGCCAGTGGCGGTTTTAAGCTGCGTATCCGGATTCCCAAACCAACGCCACCCAGTTCTCAGTTTTCAAGTCGCTCACCAATGCTCAGCACGCCCATCTGCCACCGCCTCCTCGCCGCCGGTCGCCCGCGCCCGCTTATCGCGGCGGCTGCTAACCGCCACCAGCTCATCGCCGCCACTGGTCGCCGCCATCTGCGCACGTCGTCGCCGCTGCTGGCGGTCGAGAACAGCCACTTCAAGTCGCATCCCAAGACCGACGCTCATTTCGCCGACCAAAAAGTCTGGGAAAACCCGATCCCACACGACATCTACAGCCCCCAAGACCTCGCCAAGATCCACCCGACGCACCGCAACCCGACTGAGATGCACGCCAAGGTGGCCCTCTTCGCCGTGCGTCTCATGCGCTCCGGCTTTGACTTTGTCTCGCGCTACAAGGGCCCGGGCGGCGGCATGAAGGCTGGGGACTGGGTCAACCGTGCGCTCTTTCTCGAGACGGTCGCCGGAGTCCCTGGCATGGTCGCCGGCATGGCCCGCCACCTCCGCTCGCTGCGCACGATGCAGCGGGACCAGGGCTGGATCCACACGCTCCTCGAGGAGGCTGAGAACGAGCGCATGCATCTGCTCATCTTCCTCAACATGAAGTCGCCAGGTCCGCTCTTCCGCCTCTTTGTGCTCGGCGCGCAAGGCGTCTTCTTCAACGTGTTCTTCCTCGCGTACCTGACGTCGCCCAAGACGTGCCACCGCTTCGTGGGGTACCTCGAGGAAGAGGCCGTCCACACGTACACGGCGCTCGTCCAAGACATTGAGAACGGCCATGTCGACCATTGGGACACGGACATTGCGCCGCTGATCGCACGCAACTACTACAAGCTGCCCGAGACCGCGACGGTCCTGGACATGATCAAGTGCATTCGCGCCGACGAGGCCAACCACCGCGATGTCAACCACACGTTTGCCGACGTCGAGTGGAAGACGGCGGTCAACCCGTTCCTACACAAGCACCGCAAGCCAGCCGTGGAAGAAGAGAAATCCAAGCCAGTGGCATCGTAGCTGGACAAATTAATGCTAAAATACGTCGCTCACACTTGATTGAGCTCATGCTATGGGGCGTGCACGTAGAGGGAGACGTGCAGCACGGCTAGCACCTTGGGTTGGCCTCATCGGCTAGCCGTGTTGGGCAGCTCAATCGTGCTTTCTTCAAACGTCGATCAGGTAGCCACTCGAACGAGTTTGTTTGGACGAAGTCGTTCCGTGTTTGATGGTCAAGACGCCGAATATGCCAGTTTAGTCTTAGTTTTAGGAGGACCAGTTTGGCATATTGTCTGCCACTGGCGTATGATGTACTTGGACCACCGTCGCTGAACAGCGTGAGCATGGCAGCGTCAATACCATCCAAAGATTAGCTCTATCAAGCCAAGCGCGAGGCTCTTCATGGAGCAAGATGACGTCCTTCGTTCGCTGGCGTCGTTGCGAATCTGAGTTGAACCAGGCGGCCTTTCTCCAAATGCAACCAATCACAGCCACATCGATCAAAATCGGGCCAATCAAACGACAGCATGCGATCACCGAGCTTCATTTTCGATCTTGCATGATGCACGGCTGGTGGACGCTCGCCGCTCTCCTCGTAGCGTCGGCGCACGCGGTCGTCTGGTCCTCTAGCACCAACCGCCCAACGCACGCCTATCCTGTCTACACGTATCCAGACAACTTGGATCTATCCACGTCGTTTCCGGTGTCGCTGGCGCGTGGCCAGGACCTGCTGCTGCCGATCAACCCGTTGCGCCACGCGCTCTTCCCAGAGGCCGAGACCACGCCGACGGCGCTTGGCTTTTCCATTGCCACGTGCTCGGGCACGGTCCAAGTATCGCTACTGCTGGCCGACAACTCGACGCGATCGCTCTCGATGCAGGTCTCGCAGTGCTTTACGTTCCTTCTGGAGCCCACGCTATCGTCGCCGAGCCTCTGCCCGCTCTACTTGGGCGCCGACGAGCTCTATTGCACGATCGATCCGCATTCGATCCAAGGCGGTACTTCATTTTTCTCCATTTTTGTATTTTTCATAGATATGGCTAGTGCTGCTCATGGCCGACGACGACGTCGACGCGCATGCCCACGTCCGTCTTACGTCATCGCACGTCTTCCCGGGCTACTCGTCGCTGCTTATCGACGACGGCGCACTCGCCTTTGCACTGCGCATGCAGGCCGACAACGTCTCGGGCGTGGCCGAGTTCTCGCCGGCTGCGCTCGTCGACCTTGCCGCCACCACACGCGCGCCTTGCGTCAACTGTTCGTACTCGCTTCTTGCCGTACCGACAGCAGCCAATGCGTCTATATCGACTCGAGCGTTTGGCTGTCTTGCTGCTGACGCGATCGCACTGCAGCTCGCCCCCAGTGCGCAAAATGGCAATGTGACCAAGGACGTGGCGGCGCTCGGCCGCCTCGTGCCAAGTTCGGGGTGGTACACTGTCTACCTCGCTGCGCAGCATGCCGGTCCGTCGCAGACCATGGTGTACCCGCCTGTCAAGCTCTACGTGGCTCACCCTCCGCTTCACCTCGCAGGTACTAGTACACTGCGTTCGTTGTTGGAGAGTCGAAGGTGATCTCGGACAATGTAGTCTACCTCGGGCTTGGGATCGGAGTTGCGGGCCTTCTGGGCGCAATGGTGCTTGCACGACGCCGGTACCGCCGTCACCGTGGCATTGGCCGGGGTGACACCCACCACCTCTTGAGCGACGACGAACTCGACGGCGATCGAGGCGAGTTTGTGGGGCTGCTCTCCAACACCCCAGTCGCCACCGCCAAGCGTACGGTGCATGCTGCGGACGTTGGGAACGAAGGCTTTGACGACGACGACGACGTTCTTTCCCGCTACGACGAGATCGAAGGACATGTCTAGCTCTTTTATCTCTTGTATGAGCGGCTAGTATGGTTTGTATGAGCGGCTAGTATGGTTGAGTACACTTTTTTGTGAATTGTGGCACCAACAAATTTGTCTATCACGCCATCACACTCTAAAACTGTCCACCATTCAAAAATGAATCAAACTTTGCCTTGTGACGAGCCAAATATAGGGAATGCGGCGCGAGGCGCTTGCGGTGGTCCGTGCGACCTTGATGAACAAGACGTCCACCGATGCGGCCGTGAGCTTGAAAGAGAGCGAAGATCAATTCCTCTTTTTACAAGCGCTTCGACGCCGACCTATCTCGCGCCACCACGTCGCCCTCCACAATCGCGGAGTCGCTCACATTGGCGACGACCGACCGATCACGACGCCGCCAGATGCGTCCGACATGGACGTACTCAGCATGGACCGCAACTCGATGATGTGCAAGGCTGTTGTGATTCTGTGGCGCCACCATGTGCGTATGCGGGCTTGGCGGAAATGGACGCTTGTCGCGGCCGCTGAGACCAAGCGTCTACGCGAACTGCACCTTCGGCAGCTACGCGACGAAGCGATGACGCTGCTCCGTCAGTCATCGCCCACCTCGTCCTTTGACGCTGACACCATGGCGACGCTTCTCGAGTGGGCCAAGCAGCTTCACGGCAAGATTTTTCAGGATGTATCCCACGAGCAGCTGCAAGACATTGTCTCGCACATGACGCTGCAGCACGTGCCGTGCCACGAGTGTTTGTTTCTCGAAGGCGACATTGGCCACGGGTACTATGTGCTGCTCTCGGGCGCAGTGTCGATCTACGTGGGTATGCCCGCGACAACGACCTTGCGGCTCGTCCAAGGGCGATTCCCAGCGCTGGAGGCCATTCGTCACGACCCCGCCTTGCTTGGCGTGTACAAATATGACATTCTCGAAGGAGACGGCTTTGGCGAGGTCCCTCCCACTTTATTGATGAACTACACCGAACAAGCATGGTGTCTCGTAGGTTGCAATGTTCAGCAACGAGCGGCGCCGCACGGCCTCGGCATTGGCCAGTCGCGCGTGCGACGTGGTTGAAATTCCCAAAGAGGTAGTACAATGCGAATCCAAAGGTCATCGCCGAGATGTGAGGTTAGGTGTACGACCGGACGCTCCGAAAAGCGCAGCTGACAGCATATCGCACGGCGCAGGCCATGGCCTTCCTGCCGACCGTCGATATTTTTGCCGACTGGGTGCATGCCAAGCTCGCAACGCTCTTTGGTCTTCTCGATCGGCGGCAAGTGTCCTTTGGCCAGCACCTCTTGACCCAAGACAAGCCCATCACAGGTGTCTACTTCATCTTGTCGGGGCAAGTGCACCTCGTGCAGTCGTGGACGACGCCCGCGAGCGATGTTAAGCCGTCAACGACGCTACCGATCACGGTCGATACGGTCGGTCGTCGCGGGATCGTCGGCATCCAAAGCTTGGTCGAACCGCTGCGAAAACGGAGCAAGTACGCAGCGCTCGCCGCGTCGGATTCGGTTGAGTGCTTCGCCGTGCCTTTGGGACACTTGGACACGTTTCGCGGACTGCTTCAGTCGAGCAATTTAGCGCATTTACGTGATACGTGGCACGCGCTCGAGGCGGCGCGGGCAGCGCGTTTCGAGCATGCGATCTCGGTACTGCAAACAAACACGACCGCACTTCCACCCAAACCAACGCCTGTGGCGCCAGAGACCCCGGGGTGGACCCCGAAACTGCGGTTTGAGCGCGATAAAGGACCGGCTACGCTACCGCAAATGACGTCTCTCGCCGGCAAAAAGTTTGTGTTTCACGATTTCGACTTGCTCGCAACAAAAGAGCCCACGTACCTCGCGTCATCGTCACTGCCAAAGATGACGCACGTCGCCAAGCCACCGCTGCGCAAGGACGAGTGCGCCAAAGTCGCGGCCTTGCATTTGCGCGCGTTTGAAGCGCACCTGTGGGACACGGCGCCAAAAGCGTCACCGACGAAACCCGACGATGTCCGGCGCCCCGAGCGCCCGCCGCTGCCGCCCTTTGCACGCAGCTTGGCGACGACCCGGTTAAAGGCACGGGCTGTCGCGGCCGAGCACACGTCGTTTACAAAGGCGCGGCGGGTCGTCCACGAGTCGCTCTTGTCATACAAACATGCGTTTTAGCGCGTTAAATTATAAACCAATAGCATCTCGGTGGTGCGGACTAGCTACTTTGTACTAGCCTAGTAGAGTACGGTCAACGTCGACTAGAGTACGAGCGTGCAATAGACTGCGAATGTATTGAGCAACGTCGGCGTGGATTGCATACGGGGTTAGGGGTAAAGTGCGGGGTAGGGTTCCGAAGCGAGCCCTCTCTGTGTGCATTCCATCGGCGTAGGACCCCCCGTTCGGCGTCAAACCCTGAGAATGTCTTTGTTTCTTGGGTCTATCTACTACTTTAGCATGTATTAGTTCTTGAAAAATCCGAAACCCTATCTCGAACGCTCCGGGTTGAAGTTGCTATTCGACGAAGCTAGGACGTCGCATATGCTAAGATTAGACATCTGCATTTTTGAAGAAGCATGTCCGAGTACGTTCGCCGCCGCCATCGCGGTGCTTACATTCTTGGCGTAGGCCTTGGACCCCGACATTTGGGCTCAAGCGTGCGGGTGTCAGCGCCCACAAGCGCCAGTCGACCGAGCTCCACACGCTTCGCATGCGATCGCACGACATGTCCTTCGGTAGAAACGTCAGCTTCTCTCTGCAAGGAGCTCACCTGCAAGTAGACGTCGATGCAAAAAGCGCATCACCTGGTCGGAGGTACCTTCAGCAGCAAGCCCCCAAGCGGTCGCCCAAGCGCAGTCACCAGTCCCTTCCTGGCAGCATCTTGGTGCCCAGCGACAGCTTGCATCCGTCGCAGTCGGAGCCGCTGCATCTCGCGTACAGTGCTAGCATTGTCCTGGGACCGACGACACTGCGGCCATCGAGCTCGGCAGCGCTTATGACGCCGTCGATTGCCTCATCGTCGGCAACGCTGCAGCTCGGCCGCCCGAAACCCCAACGCGTCCTCTCGCGTAAGACACTCGAACCCCCCGAGTTGCACACGCCGTACGTCGAGTCGTCGATTGTTGTGGAAAATATTGTCCTATGTGCTCTAGACCGTCCACGGTCGCGATCGAAACCAAGCGCCACTTGGCGTTTGGCGGCGGCTTCCTCGTCGACAACCAAGTGGCACCAAGCACGAGTCCGACCAAGCAACGACCCCAGTCAACCGTGCGCATGTACTTTATCAGCCCGCCGCAGGACGACCTGTGATCGAATGCAGCACCGTGTACACTCCCGCCAAAATTGCTATATACAGTTTGGCAAGTCTTTCAAAATACCCTAGTCGCTGTCGTCAATGACGATTATGTCGTGCTCGATCGGCCGTGCGGGCGCCACGGACGGCGCAGGGACGGCGGCCAATATCTCGTCCTTGACCGAAAGCGCAGACCGCTCGCTTGGCAGCGGGGCGGCAGCCGGCCATTGTGGCGCAAAGGTTGCTGCGGAGTAGGGCTCAAACGCTGGTACTTCAGGCTTGATGTACGGCATCGCATTGTTGACAACTGGGGCCGGTGTGTGCTCTGCCGCCGGCGTGGCGTGGACGACCGGCACCTCGGCTTGGACGGCCGGTGCTTCAGTCTTCACCGGCGCCTCGGTTTGTACGACAGGCGGCTCTGGTTGGACGACCGGCGCCACGGGGCTGTCGGCTTCTTCCGTCTCTTCGTCTTCCGTCTCGGTACCGTCGTCATGAGCCGCCGCCACAACCTCCTCGCTCGCCTCGGGCTCGTCGAGGACATCGGGCGTCGGTGGCTCCTCGCGCGGGGGCTCACAGCGACGCATCATATCACGCACGGTACCAAGGAGCGTACTCCACTCGGGCAGCGACTCGGTCGCGTGTTGATGCGCATCGAGCGCCTTCTCAATCGCGGCTAGGGTCCCGAGGGCGTCCTTCTTGTGCGACTCAATGTTATCGAGGTTGGTCTCCATCTCGAGCACTTGGCGGTCAATGAGCTTGGCCAGCGGCGGACTCGGCAGCGTCACGTCGCGCTTGGCGAGCTTGAGTGCCGGCAAAAGCTCATGCTCATCTTCATTCGCATCTCGTTTCCGCTTGAGGCTCTCCTTGCGCGCGAGGAGGACGCTCTTCATGCCAGTGTAGTGCGCTCCCATCAACTCCCACTTTTTGATCGACTGCGCGAGGCCCTTGAGCTTGTCGGCAAGGATCGTCACGAGGAGGTAGTCGGCGCTGCCTTGGAGGCCTTGCGTGCACTCACGGTACGCAGGAATGAAGCGTTTGGCCAAGCTAATTGCACGCAGAGTCTAGTCATTTTCTATAATCACAAAACAAGTGGAGAATAGTCTCTACCTTGCGGTGGCGGACCGCATTGTCAATGAGGGCGTTCTTCTGCGCAATTTCGTGCTGGATCGCAGCGACGCTGGCTTTGGCCGACGCCATCTTGGCGGCCCACTCGTTGTAGATGCGCAGCTCCTTCTGCCACGCGTCGCAGGTCTTGGCCTCGCGGATGTCGCAGGACCGCAGTCGCTTCTCCGAGAGCGTCTGTAGCGCCGTCACTGTGCGTTGAAAGTGGTACCGGGCTGAGAGAACGCCATGTCGCAGGTTCAAAACGTGCACGAGACCGTCTACGCCCGGCGAAAAGTGGTCTGCATTCGCATCGTTGTCTCGGGTGCATGACGTCGCCACCTTCTTCAACTAGACACAAGCGATAGTTTTAGATGGCAACTGTCGAGCGATCGTACGTCGTGGTCGATTGCGAGCAGCGCCTTGGCCATGTCGAGGGATGCGAGATGCACGAGCACCTCGCCCGTGCTGTTGAGCAGTAGCTGCATGCGCTGGTCGTTGGCGCCGAGACGCTGGAGCATCCCGTCGATCTGCGTCAGCAGCGACGTGGCGGTCGCCGGCGAGACATCGGCGGCGAGGGCGTCAAGGTCAACGACGTCATCGCTGGCGCCGAGCGCCATGAGCGACGAAGACGAGGTCGCGGCTGTCTCCATTTCCTTGGTCTCTTCTTCGTCCTTGATGCGCGGACTGGCAACCGAGGATGCGTCATTGATGGCAGCCGGCTCGTTCTCGGTGATTGCCTCGCTGGATACGGCGCCGTACTTGACAACGACTTGGCGTAGGTCGCGCAAGAGGCTTTGCACCAACGAGCACTAGGTAGACAAAATGGATGAGAGCGAAGCCAGACAGGCAGGAGTACGTGGTGGTCGATGCATTTGCTGCAGTAGTACGCTGAAGCTGTCGTAGTCGTCTAGCAAAAGGCCACGTCACGATACAATCTGCATGTGAGAAGCGAGACGACGTACGTTGGTGTCGTCGACGCACGCCTTGTGGTGGACAGCGGCGCAGGCTTCGCACTTGACGCAGAGGTCGAGCGAGCCCCGGTCGCGCGAGCAGATCGCACACAGCTAATAAACATATGAGGTTACATGCTTGTGGCTTGGTAGGACGGAAGGTACCTCGCGCGGGGCTGGCGGCGCCTCGACGACGCGGCTACGCGTGGGTGGATCGGGCGCGACCTCGGCGGCGCGGCTCCGTGCGGCAGATGTGGATGCAGCGGCAGAGTTCTTGGGGATGATCTGCTCGCGCAAGTCCTTGAGGCAGTCGCCTGTATCGCTGGCGTAGAGCGAGGCCCACCCCGGGTCGTGCTATGTGCGCGGCCATGAGGCGTTGCACGATGATCACCAGACATACCCGTGTCTTCATGCCCGGGTTGAGCGAGCGCTTCATGGCGACCGCCAACGCCGACGGATTGACGTAGCGCTGGCCTTCAAAGAGCATGCCACCATCAGGCAAGAGGTCGGCGTGCGTCTTGGTGCGGTAGTAGGTCACGTAAAGCTTCCGCGGCCCTAGACCGGCGCATGAGATCGGATTGTCGCTGCGCATGGCGTCTACCTGGCTTGATGAGCTGGGCGGAGATGAGGGTGCGCATGACGCCCGTGACGTCCGTGCTCTACGCGATCGTCGGCGCCAGGTCGTCGTAGCGGCTGTCGTACCATCCTGCCAACCTGCCCACGGAATCCAAAATGCAATTTGAGAGGTTCCGAGATATGCAATGTGAGAGGAAATCAAATTCCGGAATTCCGGATACGTTTTGGGACAAGATATATATGGCGCCAAATATGCAATAGCCAAGTCGAGTTGAAATCTCAACTGCACGTTCTTGAGCGACGATCGCCATGGTCATCCGACGCAACGATGGACGTGCTAACGCCCTCGACTGGTTCGGACATCAAGCTGTTGGACGCTGTGCGCAAGAACCAGTTGACTGAGGTCGAGCAACTGCTCCCAGAGTTGATAATTTCCGGATACGAGTGCGAAGGATCAATGAACCGGATACAATGGACTTGATACTTATCAACAACTACCTTGTTCGAGTCATTTGCCGTCGCATTCTGCGAGTCGCGACGCATTGGGCAGTTGGATTGATGGTGCGTCGCATCGTTGAGTAGCAACCCGCTAACGCTGTCGTTTGCTTGCATCAGGACGACACGTTGTTGTACGCGGCGCGCGACAAGCAAGCCCGCTGGCTCAAACGAGGTGGCAAGATCAACAGCACCGACAAGGTAGGTCCATTCCGCTGCTTGCTCTTGCGGTACGAACTCTCGCCTAGGACGGACGAACGCTTCTGTACAAAGCGGCTCAAAAAGGCCTTTACGACACCGCCAAGTTCCTTCTTGAGAACAAAGCCAATGTCCACCAAGCCAAGAGCGTACCTCCTGGATACGTGGGCACAAGCGAACTGCGTTGCCCTTATAGGACGGGTCGACACCGTTGCACGTGGCGTGTCGAGAAGGACACGTCAAGATCGTCGAGTTGCTTCTCAAGTACAAAGCCGACACGAGCGTAGCCATGAACGTACGTTATCCAACGCAGGACGCTCCCATGGCTCAATCACTCTCCTCCTCCGTAGGAAGGCACCGTACCGCTCTACGCTGCGAGTCGAAACGGGCACCGAGCCGTCGTCAAAGCGCTTCTTGCTGCCAAAGCCGACGTCAACCACGTCGTGATCGTATGCAATTGAACTCGGTGGGCGAGGCGGTCGCTCCACTGAATGCACGTCTCGTAGGGTGGCAAGACGGCGATGCAGGTGGCCTCGCGCAATGGTCATCGCCAAGTTGTCGAGCTGCTTCTTCGCGCAGGTGCTCGCGTCGACGAACCTCTGACGCGCGAGTACAGCTACGAGGGCCGGACCGTTCCAGTATCTATACATTTAGAGTCACACGACCATTCTTCCACTTTAGACGGGCTCGACGTCCCTCTCGGTAGCCATCATGTTCGGTCACAGCGATATCGTCGCTTTGCTTGGTCGCCCGCCCAGCGTCCCTACCCCCGCCCCGGCGCGGCCTTGCCCCCCTCTGCCCAGCGCGACAGCTCAGCGAACGTCGATGAGTCATGGACTTGTGCACGACGCAGTGCGCGGCGGTGTGACGCAGGACCTCAACAAGGCGCTGCGCGCACCAGACGTCGACCTCACTGCGCGCAACGCGGTACAATTTGCAGCTATACTCCCGCCGGAACCACCGTGTAGAACAATGAGACGGCGCTGATCTTGGCCATCAAGCTGCACCACCGCCACTTCCCGCAACTCATCTACCATGCCATGCATCATCCTGGCATCGTCGAGGTACGACGCAGATTCTTGTATGGAGTTGACGTAGAGATTGTGTAGGTTCCAGAACATGAGATTGAAGTCGACTATCAGCGACGACTTGGTTGTGGTGGTACCGGCTATATCAACCGCGGGCTATTTCGCGGCAAGCGCGTGGCCGTCAAGCAAGGTCGGCCGTCCGGCGCCCAAAGTCTTCGCCGAGAAATCCGCGCCATGGAAACGTACGATGACGATGCGCTGTGTTCCTTTGTCTCAAAATGCAAGTAGATGCAACTCGCCGTACTTGCTCGAGCTCATCGCAGTTTCGGGCTGGAGCACGCAACATCCCAAGCTCGTGCTCGAATACATGGACAGCGGCAACCTCCGCGAGTACCTCGACAAGAAGCGAGATGGTGAGTCCGTCTCGATTGAGTACCAACCGGAAGATGTGGCGTGGGTGATGGCGAGTGCGCTTGCCGACTTGCACCGGAATGGCTTCGTCCACCGCGATCTCAAGAGCCTCAACGTCCTTCTCTCTTCGGAGAGTTATATCAAGGTCGCCGACTTTGGTCTCACAAGAGAGTTTGAGGAGAACATGACCACGGAGGTCGGCACCCCAGCGTGGATCGCACCGGAAGTTCTCATGTCCGGCGGCACGTACGACGCTGCAGCCGACGTTTACTCGTTTGGCGTCGTCTTGATCGAGCTCGTGACGCTTCGAGTGCCCTACGCGGGCTTGAGTCGGTACCAAATCGCACCAGGAGTCCTCAATGGCACGCTGCGTCCGAACGACAACTTGTCCATCTTTGCTGATGTTCCCGAGTGGCTCACGCAGCTCATTGACGATTGCGTGGCGTTTGATCCGACGCGGCGCCCGACCGCCAACGCGATCCTCGACCGTCTCGCTTTGCACGGTGCCGTCGACGCAACGTCGCCGCACGTTGTGGACCGGATGATGCCGGTACGCACCTCTTTGCTGGAAGGTTGAATGGCTCCATGTCTGCTGTAGACAATGACCTAAGACGATGCGATGATGGCTTTCTTCAGCCAACGCACATGCTTGTGACTCTTGACCGAGCAATTTCATAACGTTCTGCGGGCACAAGAACTACTGTTTCGTGAAGTCATGACAACCCTGCGTGTCGCAGACGTTAACTATAGTTTTGTCATTTTGGAACCGACTATATGACAAATTTGTCGATGACGTACCAAATTAGGTCCCAGGTTGGAGGCTCCGTGATGTTGTGAGAAGCAGCGGCATACGCTAGCATTTCGGCTTGGCCGAGTACCGTGACGTGGCACTTGCTGGCGGCAGATCGACGACGAGCGCGCCAACGTCAATCTGGACGGGGCAGGTGGTGGCAGCACGTCTGCGTCAAAGTGCGTCGCTGCCACTAAGTGCGAGGAACGATGATGGACGACAGGAGTGTTCTGTTCGCGCAAGTCCTTCAGGCGTGCCCCCGCAGGCGCACGCGCGTCTTCCTGCCCGGGTTGAGCGAGCGCTTCATACCGCCACCGCCGACGCGTTGACGTAGCACTGGCCTTCAAAGAGCATGCCACCGTCGGGCAAGAGGTCAGCGTACGCCTTGCTTCGGACAACGAGTACATGTTGGAGCCAAGAACTGGCAACAACTGCAGTTTTGATGATCGATCATGCCAAGAAGGTTCCGGGAGTCCTAACCCTTGCCCGCCTCGACCCCTCGACTACAGTATCCCAGACTGCATCGAACATGGAGGAGCTCGCAGGATGAGCCGTCTAGACGGCATTGACTGACGAACCGATACTCTTGCATCATCTTTCGCGACTAGTTGCTGCGGTGCCAGGTCGACTTTGGCAGGAGTCGATGACAATACTGTATTTACACGAGGTACAACTATTCTTTTAATTATAAACTAGAGTGGACATGCGACACGGTGGTTGTTATGCGGCCGAGCTCGACGTCGTCATGCTGTGCACGAGCGTCGCCATCTTCTTCTCGAGCTGCGACTCGAGCGCCGCACACGTCTTGTCGGCGAGCGTTCGATCCTTCTCGAGCACACTGCGCCACTGCTCCAGGAGCTCCAAGTTGCGCGCGACGATCTGCTGCGTCTTGACAATCACATTTTCCGCGCGCTTGAGCCGGCGGTCCGTCTCGCCGCCGTCGTTGAGCGTATCGGGCGTCGTCAGCAACGCGCCGGGCCGCGCGAGGTCCTTCAACGTCGTTGGAAACTTTGGCAGCTGCAGCGTCGCAAGCAGCGGCGCAAAGTCCGGGTACTTGCGCTTCGCCTCAGGCTGGATCTGAAGCGCTGCCGACTCGACGAGCCGACCGGCCTCGATCGCGAGCGGGTACGGTCCGAGGATGAACTCCTTCATCGTGTGCGAGTACTCGTTGCCGACGATGGTCGCGAGGGCCGCGCGGAGAAGCCCAAACGCTTGGCGGTACTGCTTGTAGATATCTTCTACCTGCTTTTGGATCGCGTCGCTGGCCTTGACTTCGGAGGCGGCGACTGCAATGTGGGCCTTGAGTCGGTGGACGTCTGGTACGACAAACGCGTTGAAGACGTTGTTGAGGATGTCCCGCTTCTCCTGTTCGAGCAGCTCTTGTCGCTCCATGAGCTCGACGTCGAGGTCGTCCATGGGCACGGGCAGAAGCGACATGGACGTCGACGGCAGCTGGCCGCCGGTCGAGCGCGGCTTGAGCGACTGGATCTGCAGTTCCGTGAGGCTCATGGACCGGCGCTCGAGCTTGTGCAACGTGTTGTCGGCGGCCTCGGCGTCGCTGAGCTGCTTGCAGAGCTTGAGCCGGAGCTTCTCCATGCGCTTCTCCTTGTTGAAGCCAAAGAAGCGCCGAAGCGCCGAGTTTTCTATCTTCTCCATCTTGGCGAGCAGCTCGGCTTGCGTCGCGCGCTTCTCGATGCAGTCCTTCCGAGCCTTCTCGAGCTCCTTTGAGAGCGCGACCCACTCTTCTTCGTACGGCGCGGGGATGTCAATCTTGCCGCCACGCGTCGACGGGAAGAGGCCCGTGCTGCGCTGGCTCGAGAAGAGCGTTCCGCGCGTCGTGCCGGTCGGCGTCGTCGCGCTCGCGCTCGGGCCACGGAAGCTCGTGTTGAAGCCGCGCGAGCTGCCATAGTTGGAGGGCACGCGCGCGCTAAAGACACCGCGCGACGAGCCGCCGGCCTTGGTCGACTCGAGGTTGTCCCAGCTGTGGTTGCGCTGGCGGCTCCGCTGGAGGCGCGCCATCTGCTCGAGCTCCATGTTGAGGCGCTCGTAGCGCGCGAGGAGGTTCTGGTCGATCTCGTACTCCTCCGAGACGCTCACGGAGCGGCCGAGGGTCGTCGTCGTCGGGGCCATCTTGCGCGGAGGCGATACTTGCTACACTGGATCGTCGGCCGCAAGCAGCGGCTTCTGCCCGCCATCTGCCTCCTCTCGGTATTGTATTATCTTCATGTTTGTATGCCGCGCACCTCATTTTAATGTGGCATGTCACTGGGCGTAATGGGCGTGGCTTTTTTTTGGCGCCGCATACAAATTCCAAGTGCAAGTGGCAGGGCGCAAGGCCATTGGCTGTCGCCGCCGACAGCATTACTGCCCATATGTATACAAACTTCAAGTGCTTTGCATACCGACGAACTTCTAGCAGGAGGTCCTACAGCGCGACGAGACCACCGCACCAACTCCGCACCAACTCCGCCACGACTACGACGACGGTCTTGTCCCATGCACCGCCAGGAGCTATCTTCCGGTAGCTGTAGAAGAGCTTGGACGAGGACCAATGGAGCAGTATAGAGTCTGAGTTGCGTAGGATACACTGGACAGAGGACAGACGATGCGAGTGAGATCGGCCGTGTGTTGCTGCTGTGGACACGACCGCGGACCGCTTCTTTACGATGCCAATCAGCGCAGGAGGCAACAATAGACTACTAGTGCTTGACCTGTTCTGCAAGAGAATGCTATTGCGATCGTCGGGCGGCGGTTGGCGGCGACTCAGGAGGTCCAAGGAACAGGCGTGGAAGAGGCAAGGCGGTGGTGTGGACTGCACGTCCAAGCAGCACGACGACTGCGATGGTCGGAGGAGATGCGTCATTGCTCACACCACGATCTCGCCGGGCACACGCTGGAACGACGATAGTGGAGTCAGTCACCCATAGCTCATACCAGCGCATCGCATCAGCGTTGATATACCGCGTCGTTCCTCTGCGACTTGTTGCTGCTGTCGTTGGGCAGCCAAATGAATTGCTGGCTTGTCCCTGGGCTTGTCCAAATCGAAAATCATCCAAGACACCTTGGAGGAGGCAGGAGGTCCTGCAGCATCTCGTCGTCGTCGTCGACTCTGTCGCCTGTCGGTTAGTGATCCCAAGATGCGCCACGTGCGCGATGCTGCATCGCCGACGCGCCGCCGACCATCCACTACGATCGATACAGTAGGTGCGGCGTCCTACACTGTACTGTTCTAGACGATGGGGTCGCAACTGCGGCAGCGGCTTCAATACGGGTACCCGTCGCGTTGGCGCCAAAAATGCGCAAATTCCGAGTGTTATTTTTTGGCTTTCGGTGGCTTTTTTGTCCGCCGCAACTTTTCATAGAACGAAGCCAGTCCCGTGGTTGGCACGGATGTCGTGTCGTCGTCTTCCGGGTACGACGGCGCGTCACTTGTCGACGCGCTGTTGTCAGGCAGGATCTTGGCCGACCGCATCTTTTCGAGCATCGACGTGCGCTCCATGCACTCGCGGTGCACGGTTTGCTGCAAGAGCGCAATTTCCTAGTTCATTTCATAGTATAACTATACCATTCGAAGCGTGTGTACCTGGTCTTTCTGAGATAAGAGCTCGGTGAGTCGCTGGACATTGCCGGACGACTCTTGGTTTGACGGACTCTTGTCGACTTTCGGAGATGATTTGGCGTGACGGGGAGCCGACCGCGCGTCTTGAAGCGCCGCCTCGAGCTGCTCGACAGTGCGCTTGTACTGCTGAATGTCGGCTTGGAGTCGCTGAATCGAGATCTCTTTTTCTTGGAGCGACGTGGCCGCATTCTTGTCCAGCGCTATTTGCTTGCGTTCGAGGGCCTGCTGCAGACCGTCGCGCTCCTGGAGCGCTATATTCTACAACACCATCTTTCAATTTCGCTGGTGGATAAATTGATACAAAAGAACTCACCTTTTCGCCTTCGAGATCGCGGAGTTTGCGCTCGAGCGCCGACAGAGACGACTTGACGTGTTGGTGGCCCATCTTGGTACTCTACCGGTTGACATATTGATACTTTTCGTTGCGATTTTGAATGGAATACTTGAAGCTCTTCCATGTAGCTGGCCGCGCGCTGCTTGGCGTCCTTGAGCGCGCGATCGCAATCGTCGGCCTACGCGGATTCGATTGCAGAGACTGCCACGTCATAATATGAGACAGGCGCACTTTTTTCTCAGCGATCGACGTGGCCAGTTTGATATGCCGCACGTGGTCGTGGAGCTGCTGCAGTTCGAGACCGAGCCGGTCGATCTCTTCCTTGGCAGAGGTTGCTGCTGCGTCCAGCTACCCAGAGTTGAGTTATGACCAGACAGGATGGCATTTCCTACTGCAATAGCGTGGTTGGACTTCAGCTCGGCGATTTCTTTGGACCACTCGAGCTTGACCCTGTCCATCGCTGCCTTGTGCTCGGCTGCATGGCTCGACAGTGTCCTTGCTTGCTCGTCGATCGTACTTTGTAGACCTCTAATTTGTCCCTAGCATCCCATTCCCTCCAACTCCCGTAACCACAAAGGAGACAGTACCTTGACTTCCTGAAGTCGGTCGTCGGCTGATGCAATCTCTTGCTTGAGCGTTGTGCGCTCGGCCAACAAAAGCACCTTGTTCTTCTCGAGCGCAGTCGCCTGGTGCTTCCACTTTGCAATGTCCTCATGTAGTTGTCGGACGTCGGCACGCTCGACCTCGGCTTCGGCCACCGTCCGTGACGCCGCCGCGTGGGCTTGCACCAGCTAATTTCTCTCAATATGAAATCTCGTCCGACAGAAGAGTAGACAAATGTACTTGGTCTTGGACCATGTGCAGCTGTGCTTTGGTCTGCGCGAGCTCGGCTTGCACGGCGGCAAGCGATTCATGTGTCGCCGCTTCGACGTGTTGGAGTTCGTGTTTAGCCGTGGCGGCGGCCAACGCGTAGCCGTCGACGCGTGCTTGTAGCTGCGCGCTCGTTGCTAGCGCCGCTCGCAGCTCGTCGTCTTGTGTGGCAATGACGCCTTCGAGTCGAGCGATCTCGGCGTCCGCCTTGAGCTTGTGGCTTGCGAGCGTCGACTTGGCCGTGTCGATTTGCGCCATTAGCGTCGCCTTTTCCTGTTGCCACGTCATTTGGCTCGACTCGTGAAGATGCGCTGCATCCCGGAGCGCCTCCACCATCTAATACAGACAACGCATGGGACGAATATCCCAAGTCATGGGAGCGACGCAACCTGCTGTTCAAGGCGAGCAATGTCTTGGGTCTTGAGATCGACTTGCTTTTCTGCGGCACCAACCCGCCGGTTGGCTTCGTCCAAAATCAAATTCCGCTGGGTCGTCAACTCCGCCTCTGCACCGCGAAGCGACGCGTGCGCCACCGAGAGCTGCTGCTGAAGGTCCTTCTTCTCTTGCATGTGCTTCTGTTCTACGGCAAGAAACCCTTGTAGTTGAGACGTGATGGCCACGACTGTCGCCGCATGCTCGTGCTGGAACGCAAGCATCTCGGCTTTCATGGTCTGTTGCTGCGTCTTGGCCACTCGCATCCATTGCACAATCGACTACAAACTCTGAATAAGATCTGAGATACGGACAGCGCCGACCTCGAACTGCCGCCGGTAGACCTTGGCGGTTTGCTGCAGCTCTTGGACTTCGGCAAATACAAAGTAGCTGACGCCGCAAAACGTGCAGGCCGTGTCGGCTTCGTCCATCTTTTGCACGGCGACCGGCAGCTTTTGCCGCGTCGGGCCATTGTACAGCTCGTCCTTGGTCGGGTCGCGGAGGATCTCATGCGGCTGCAATCGAAAGCCCGACATGCTCAAGTGATTGTATTTATAGCCATTTGAGGTTCTGGGACTAGGGTTAGGGTTCTATCCGCCGTCGCTTTTTCACGATGTATTCTGTCACCGATGCGATAGTCCAATCATGATGCCATCAACCACAGCACCATGGATCTCTAGAGGTGCTTAGCGCGTTAGCTAGCGGCCTGCGTGCCGTACGACTGAATATGCGGTCGGTCGAGGAGCTCTTGGCGCTCGGTCGCGTCAAGCGGCGTAGGCACTGCCGTCATCGAGGCCAGAGGAGCCATGTCTCGCCCATGGAGGTGCCCACAGTGCTTCGTAAAGTCGACGTAGACGAGCATTGCAGCGAGTCCCATGCCGAGCAGCGCCAGGCCCATGAAGAGGACGTTGAGGTACGGCTGGTACACGTGCAGGATGCTGTACTCGACGACCACAAACATCGGTACGATTGCCAACCCGACATTCTAACGACAATTGTGTGCACACTCGTGTCAAGAGGAATACCGACACAAAGGACGTACCAGAAAGGCCGAGGCAACGCCGTACGCTGTGCCCACGTGATGCGGCTCGACACAGCCTACAACAATGAGGTTTGGAGATAACTATGATGCCGAGAGCTTACACGAGAGAGCAGGCCACATGGCTGCGGAGAAGATGGAGAGCGCCGCCGCTTGCAGCACGACAGGAACGTACAGCGAAACGCTGGTGAATCCGAGGAGCGTCTGTGCGAGTAAGCACGCGGCCATACTTCCGAGCGCAATGAACGTGCGGTACCCGACCTTGTCGACGAGGTAGCCAAAGAGCGGGGCCGACACGGCGATGGCGAACGGACCGACGCTCAAGGGCCCGGCCGCGGCTTGTTCGGCCGAGTACTTGGCCGCGCAATAGGCTTGTGTCGATGGCCCGTGCTTCCACACATCGCTGTCGCAGTTGATATCGACGGCCGAGACGTATGGCGGAATCTGGCGACAGCTTGCTTGGTCGGTGGCCTCCATGCACGAGAGCGAGAGGAGCGGCAGCGGGTGTGCGAATGGCGGCGACGGCGGACAGGCCGGCGGCAAACTCGAGCAGTTGTTGTCGCCAGCGTACGCGCCGAGGCCGCAACGCTTGCACTCGGTCGGGAGGGCCTTGTAGTAGTCGCGCTCCATAAA